GATCTAAAACACAAGTTAACCGAAAAATAAAAAAATCGAGCGTAGATCTATACACAGCTAGAAATGATTCATTGAAACGATGCCATTTCGACGCTGTTAATGTTGAAAGAAGTCCATTTGCAATGTATAAATATTTTGACATTTTCGAGGGAAACAAAAATTTGCGTATATAGCGAGATGATAATGCCTTACAAATCTGATGTAAACTTATAGAAGTGTCAAGATAACATCGGTATAATGTCAATACGGTCTCGAAAAATCTTAAGAATGTGAGACTATATTATAATAAATACTAACAAATGCTATGTTGCTCATTTCAGTCGTCGAGTAAACACAATTTTCATATAATTACCATCTTAAAGCTGAGTCTCTTGTATCTATCCCAAATGTTCGAGGCTTTAGTATTACTATTCAATCGTGACCTATCGTTCTACAATCATGTACAAGCAATAGTATCTTCTGCACATAGAATTTTGGATTTTATTTATCGCTGGAACAAACATTTTAAGTGTAAATACTGTAAGATTATTATATTTTGCCTTAGTTCGTTCCAAGTTAGAACGTTGTTCCGTTAGAACGTTGTATCGTCCGAATGTCGATGACGTGTCACGATTATCAACATATCCTTGTAAAGATTAATACGCTATCCTTGCAATAGAAGAGAGAGTTATTTAATCCTATTTTCATCCTCAAGATTACTAACGATATATTAATTTCTCTAATATATTGCAGGATATTAAGCTAGATGTTTCGCCTAAATCATTAAAACGGTGCTCTCTCTTCCATATAATGTTTTATGGGCTCCGAGGCTTTTTATGGCCAATGTTCTGGCACAAATAATTTATGTATGACTACGAATGCAATCTCACATCGCGTGGATTTTTTTCATAGAACCACAACCACAGTATTTAAATGCTCTCTAAAGCACGTAATCAATTAATTATTTATTTGTTTGTCTCTACATTATCTTCATTGAATTAAATAACCTTGAGTTTTATGTTTGTTTTATCTGCGAACGAAAAAAAATATTCCGTATCAATGTATACCAAAAGATTATTTCCCGTAAATGAAGATATTGTATTATGTTATAAATATGTATACACATATGGAGTATAGAAAAATATATTGAAAATTCCCGTTAAACTCTATATATTCAGTTTTTCGTTGCTCGAAAAAATGTCGAAATTTCAGCGTCAAATTTCGAATCAACAACGTCTCGACGTTAACGACGTTGAAACGATGGCGTTTCGACGAGTCAATTCTAGCTAGGACAGACTAATAAAAACCTATTTTGGCGATATTTCACTTAATTTTTCTCTTGAACACCGTCAATTTTATAAATTTAATTTTAATGCTACTTCGAAGCTAGAAATGCTCTCGATATTTTGAAAATTAGACTTATATTATTGTTCGAAACAACTTATTTTGATGCTGAAAAGAACGGAAACGGAAATTTAAGACATTATCGTGGTCTCAAGTGAGATTAAATTATATCGTTATAATAGAAAAAAACTATGTTATAAATCTTTAATTAATTCTACAAACGGTAAGAGCTAAGCAAAATATAGCAAAATATTTTCGATTCTAATGATATAATTTGCTCGTACTTTGATCTTAATGATGTCTCAAATCGGTAATAATAGGTTGTTCAAAGTACATAAAGAAAAATATCATTCTACTGTTGAGAAAAACGATTATTCGGTTTACTTCCTTTTTTTTAAACAACAGTTATCTTCAAAAAAGGATAGCTTCTTGATAATAATTTTGAAATATACTCTTCATAAATTTTAAAAAAAGCTCATTATCACGCGCATCCGAAAGAAGTTATTCTTTTTTCAAGAATATCATAAACTTTACTAAAAAAAACAGTTAAATTCTGTTAATTTGAATAAAAAACCAAAGGTTGTCTTAATTTATTTTTCAGTGAAATACTAAAATACTTGGATTTAAAATACATTTTAAATAAATCTCATGCTTATGATGAACTTATGATATATTTGCGAGTATAGGAACTTAGGAAATACTTGAAACTAAGTAATATTTGTTCGAATGTACGTATCTTCCTGTGTGCGTATCGTTAACCCTTTGAGTACTGAATTATTTGAAGATTTTTATGCCCATGGGACGGATTTAATTTGTCGCTATATGGATTAATATGTAAAAGTAATACATTTTATGCCCAAGTAAGCAGATGACGAGTCTCACTCGTCAAATGTACCCAAAGGGTTAAATTAAAATCTGTAGAATTAAAGGTTCAAGAGGAAACTTAATAAGTGTTAATATTATCAAGGTAGGTTTTTAGGCCATTTAAGTAGGCGGAAGTCATCCTTATAAGAGTCGAAATAGCATCACAAATTTTCGACTCGGATTCGGTCACTCGCTTGCGACGACGACGACGACGAGCGAGGAGACGCGTATTACCTCGCCATAGCGATGTTTGCATTTCTGCAGCGTAGCGACGACGGGATCGAAACTTTTTATTCCAATATTTGTATTCCGATCGCTCGACCGCGAATGGAACGCCGGCGGGACCTTGAAAAAAATGATTTACGTTGGGTTCGCGTTGGGAACTAAATAACCGACGACACTCGGTTTTTTCCCCCACCTCTCTCTTTCTCCTGTGGACCGCATTTAACGATGATTGATTTTCACGTATCGAGGTCGTTAATGACATTCCCGTTGTCTCACCGCCTGATAATCCGCCTGTTCGTCTCGTGCATCGCCCGAGGCGCGCGACAAATTACACATATGAAAAAAAAGGCGAGAAAAAAATATCTTCCCGCGACACGACCGTCGTCGTTCGCGGATTCCGCGCAGTCGTGATTTCGCGTCGCGGCGCGCGCGGACGACGCGATTATCCCGAAACGAGGCATTATCATTTCCGCGCGAAATCGAACGGTCGGCCGATCGGCCGGAGTCGTCGTCGCAGCGCGGCACGGCGCGCGCGAGGGACCAATAATTAACGTGCACGACAAACAGTATTATCGTCATTGCCTGATATTATTCCCATTATCTTATATGTACGGCGGCTATGTGCTTAATGATTAATAAAATATTATCTGCGCCGCGGGTGTGTATCTCTTCCTTGCGACGGATAGTTTCGTGCCAGACGCCACGACGAGCAGCGACCTGGTGCGCGCGCGCGTCTCCGCGAGATCCGGCGACCCGGAGGGATCGAGCCGTCGTCCGACCGGGAAGTGAAAGCCGACCGGGGAAAGCGGGGAGAAAAAAGAGCATCCGATCGTGCTTCGTTTGAGTGAAAAGTTCGCCGCCACTGTGTGTGTGTGTGTGCCGCGCGTTTGACCGTTCGCTCGCGCGAATCGAAGCGGATTCGGTGGAAATCGAGCCGGACGCGAACATCGGTCGCAGGATATCTCAGTGAACGCTTTCGCAAAAACGCTCGGCAGCTTTTTGCGAGAGACCGGCCGGACCGCGCGGGAAAGTCGTTTAGCAAAAAGCCCCGGGGGCTTTTTGCGGGCCATTTGGAAAACAATGCCGCAGCACAACAATGTGACGGTCGAGCGTGAATCGGCGGCGATGATGAGCGCACAAGGTGCGAAACCGATCGGCGGCCGCAAAACGAGCGACGGGGATCCTCTCCGTCGCGAGGCGCGCCGTCGGAGCGCGCGTGTTCACAGTGCCGCGCGCGCGTGAGTTATCGATTTAATATTTGCGCTATCGAGCACAGTGCGGTAATCGAGCAATCTGGACGCCGTAGTCGTGGAGGAGGCGGTGTCCCGCCGTGCGCAGGTAGACTCGCCAAACACGGGGAATAATTAATATGCCGAGGGAACACGAGATCCGCAAATATTTTGCGACGTTCTCGCGCGGGCTGGAAGTTGCGCTAATGAGCTCGTGCGCGCGCTCCTCTCTCCGCGTAATTTTCCACGAGAGCCGTGTGCTCTCGAATTCGCCCGAGCTTTCCGATTTTTGACCAACCCGGGGGGATCGTTCGGCAAGTACGACGCCGGGCGAAATTTCGAGTGGAAGTTTTCGAGCGAGTCGAACACGGGGGGACCTTGAGGAAGAGCGAGGAAAAATGGAGCGAAGCGAAGGAAGAACGAAGAGAGGAGAAGGAGTGAGAGAGAGAGAGAGAGAGAGTGAGTGTGTGAGTGAGAGAAAAAGACAGGTGGGACGGAGTCGGCGGGGCCCGTGTCTAGATTTCGACGTCGGGACGCGTTGACGAGGAAGAGGAGGAAACGGGCTGCGCACAAAACACAAGTGTCGAAGCGAGCCGAACATAAAACACAAGTGTTCCTTTCGTGCACGCGCCGTTCGCGTTACCACGGATGCTCGCTTTCGTTCGCCGGCTCGCCCGACTTCAATCGGATAAAATCGCGCGGATCGGCCGGGCAGACGATGGGGAACACGACGATCGATCGAACGGCCGGATTGAGCCACGCCGGACCCGCTCGGAAAACGCTGTTTTTCCACGACGTCACGACTTAATTGCAACTTAATGCGTCCACCGTGCCCCAATAATCCAAGATAGTCCCGACAGTCGGTTCTTTTTCGAAGAATTTCCTGCAGTTCGGTGTACATCGGGTGCGAGACAAGTTAGAACGAAGCGAACTATACTTGTTTCGCTTTGAATTACCGCATCGGTGGAAAAGAACAGATCTTCGCAAGTCCCTCTGCTCTTACGCTCGAACAGCCGCAGTCCTAGGCGACGCGGTCTTTTGCATCAGCACTATGAAACTATCGCAATTATGCAATCGTTAACGCGTTTAGTCATTAATCGGCTATGTGCTCGCACGCACCTGACTCAAAAAGAAAATATTTGTCTCCCTCGCCAGAGTGACTTTTCCCAAAATTTCCGCTCCTCGAAACTTACGAAACCGTCGACGAGAATTCTGCGATACCCGTGGCTGGGGCAGCGAGGGCGACGAGCCAACTCGAATTGGAGGGTCTCGAGGAAGATTCACGAGGAAAGACTAGAGAGAGTGTGTGTGTGTGTGTGAGAGAGAAAGAGAGAGAGAATAAGGGGATTTTCGACTTACTTGGAGTGCGACGGGAGTTGAAGACGAATAGGAAGACGAGAGTCGAGGAAGTCCGGTTGCGTGCGTGTTCCTCTCGGAGAGCTGGCTGATGATGGCTCGTCGCGACGCTCGACGCACGACGTGCCCCGATGCGCCGTCGTCGCACGGACGACCGCCGCTTCTGCTGAGTTCGCGAGTGTTTGTGAGCGAGAGACACGCACGCGGCGCGCGCTTGACACAGGTGCGCTTCCACGAGGAGGAGTGCGAGGTGGTGGCTGCCGCCGCCGCCGCTGGCTCTTCGCGCTCGTCGTGATCGCCGGGCTCGTGGTCGCCGGCAGGGCTGCCGCCTGGTAGCGCGATATCGAAGCTTCGATTTGATCCGAGAGCCCGTCAAATATTGACTGACGACGATTAGGCTGAGACTGCTGCCGCCCGCCGCTCCGTGCCGGGCCGCCTTCCGCGGACGCCATCTTGCTGATACCTGCGTGCTAGCCCGGCGTGCCGCCGCTCTTCGCGCCCCTCTTCGTCGCAAGAGCCAACGTGGTGGTAACTGACGATGGAAGGGGTGGAACTGCCAATTCTCGCTCCCTCGGGGGCGGAGGGATCGTGCGTGCGTACGTGCGTGCGCGTAATATGCGTGTATGTGGGGTGTAGATCTCTGAAAAAAAGAACATTGCGTGTCAGTAACGAAAAATCTGTATATAGTTTATGAAAAAAGTCGGCTTGCATTAACCAGAAAGATAACGATAACTATATGAGATAATTATGCAAGAATTATAAGAATCACATTTTGAGTCTCATAAGAACCGGGAATTCGGTTTCCTTCGACCAGGACGCATCGTTTCCTTTCTGGTTGATGCAACCGGATTTTGTTTCCACGTAATGTACATATAAAGGTGTAATATAGATTTTCAATATCGGCAGTGAATATCGCAGCAATTTACGGTTTTCAGTAACAAGAGTCGCGGGCGAGAAACATTTTCCGCGTCGAGCCATGATCGGCCGATAATTTTGCGACCGGCGGCGAGAATTTACGGATCGTCGCGCATCGGAAAGGTAGATCCAAGTCCGGCTTCACGAGATGAAGAATTCTGCCCGTTAGTCGCGCGCTGACGGTTTATTACCTTCGTCCCGGGTTATTTTCATAGAGCTCCCTGCGATGAGGGAGATCGGTTTACCTTGTCGTACCATCACATACCTGGGCGATATATATAGCTACAGATATATACCCGGCTCCGGATTTTCTTATCACCTGGGGACCGAGGGAGGGGAGTGAAGCTCGAGGGCGGAGGGTTGTCGCCATGGTTACAGAGCACACACGGGGTACCGCTGCTGATAAGCCGCTCTCAGGTGAGACGCACCGTCCTTAACAAGGCGTCGCTCCGCTATGCACAATTGCCCGGAGATACACAATGGCGTAATAGCGTAAATGGGACACGTGAAGATCGCGCCGGGTCTCAGATTCCATGCAATAAACGCGTTCCAGCGTGAGTCCAGCAGCGAAACGTAACACACGAATCACGAGAAGGTCCCGTCGATTTGCATCGAACTTGCAATGAACGAGGGGCAAGACTGATCCCTGAAATACTCCTGAAAGTTTCAGATATGAAAATTGTCCAATCTGAGAGGATTTCGCGGAGATTATATCTGAAAGACGAAAGGAGCGCGCTAAGTAATAATGCGACAAGCGCGTCTAATAAGTTCCGAGATGGGTGATTCAAGTATTGATTTAAAATGATTCAGATAAATTTTTGCAACTATCTGTGATTATAAAGATTTTGTGCGCGGGGGGCGGGGGTCTTTCACTCTACGCCTTTGCCGCGGGCAAGATTACCGAGAGAGCATACGCGGCTCACACAGAGATTAAGGCGAGACACTGCATTATCGCCAAAAATACACAAGGATGAACTTTTCCCCGGCCGTTCAGTGACTCCTCGCCCCGTCAGCTGGGCAGTGTTTTCGTACCAGAGGGACGTTATATGAGGAGCCATTTCAGATAATCCACTTTGATAAGTCCAAACGGATGCATCGTTTCGCATTTGAACAACAGGGATGCAATTTGGAGAGGAGTTTTTGCGCGCATAAATAGCAATTTCTGACGCACGTCGCGTGCATCGTAAGTTATATACAAATAAATTGCACATAGAGTGATATAAAAAAAAAGTCCAATTGCCAAGTTACAAAAAAGGATCATTGATTAAACGAAGCAGCACATTTTTTAGAGCACTCTGTAATAGGATTTTGCATTTCAAGCATTTTCCGTTGTTTCCCCAAGTTTTCTAATTGTCTTCCCTATGCGTACTTAGCGTGAGCGTGTGAGGAAAGTCGGAGGTGGTATTCACCGAAGCTCTCCGACTACAATCTTAAATCCCTTTTTATTTAAAAATAACCGATATCTCTCGGTACAACACTAAAAATATATTATGTAAAGCATAATGGCATATTTGTCGGCGAGATGCAACATGTCGGTGAACTTTGTTCCAACTGAACCTTATGTGGTATAAAGTCGGTCGATAATTGATCGGATTGAAAGTAATTGTCTCACGATTATTTCATAATCATATTCTAAATATTTTATAAGATTAATCATTTTATAAAACAATTGGTCCCTATAGAAAACAAGCCGTTTGCGGCACGCATCAGCGAAAGATGCGCGTACGCAGTCGGTCATCTTCCTCGAATTGAGTCAAATATGTCAGTTAGGATGAAAATCCACCGTGACACATTAACGTGAAATAAAATAGAAAAGTATCTACGCATAGCCGTCAGATATGTTTACTCGTAGAATATACATAATCCTAAGTTTACCATTATCGTTAATATTACTAATTGTTAACTTTAGTCGCTCTCACGCGAGGTACATCATTTGCTATTAGTTGTGTTGCTACTGACAATTTTGCTTTCGCGAACAACACATTAAATGCCGAACAACGTGCCATTTGAATGGGCGACGTCGGAAGTGAAAAGTCGATTGATTATGTTTCCTTCGGCCGAGATTATCCAAACGTGCGTGCACAACGGGCGAATTTCGAAGGAAACAATCGAAATGAATTTCACCGACACGCGTGCGTGCATGCATGCACGCGCACTGTTGACATTTCTTAGAATTACGCAAGCAAATGTTGTCAACAGAGCGTGAAGATCCGCAGCAACGTGTGTTCGTCACGAATTCTTTGGTTGAAAGATTCTTTGGTTAAGAAACGTAAAAAGAGAGTAGAGTAACGAAAACAGACAATAAACGAGACGCATATCTTAATTGCAAAGTGCATCCTAATGTTCTAGATTTCTTTCTAATGACGCTATTTTCTATTTTCACTCTCGCCCGCGATAAACATACGTTGCTAGCCGGTAGCATCATGACTAATAACAAATAATAAAATACTAGAGTCTATAAATGATAAAATGTAGCAATGCTAAAAGAATATAACGAGTGAAATAATAAAATGTACATAAATATAGAATAATAAAGCTAAGATGGAAAGAATTAGTTCGGACTTGACGACTTGACGGCTTTGAAGTAAGGCCCCTTAACGTTCCTCCGTCATAACTACCGTGATTCGCGTATCACAACAAGGGGTTCCACAATTATGCCTTACGTGTATACGCAAGGCACTTCCATTATCGTTATTTGGTTCTTTCCCTCTTTCTCCCAAATATGGTCGTTTTGTGCATTCCCCAGTGAGACATTTCTAGTACACGACGTACTCTCACTGCAACTCGACCTTCGGTCTTTTCTCGTTTAAAAATATCCTTGTACCTTCGAGGAATTCGCACTAGAAAATTATATACAGTTCTACTGACCGTAGCGCCATCGGAACTTATCCTACATTATGTACACTTCCGAGAGTACAGGCTATATATGCATATATAGCATTATCGGCTCATGCGCTTCATACACTCTCTCTAAAAAGAGGAAAAAAAAATAGAAAAAAAAAGGGAAAAGAATAATAGAATAAAACGCATGAAACAGGAGGCCACGAGATATTCGGAGATTCAGTTCAGTGTTTCATTATTTACATTCCCGTCTTGGGTTCGCCTGGACTGGTCGACGGACTACTGCCTAGAGTAACGATGTGTGGCGAGGTGAGCTGGTGATGATCCGGCGACTGGCCGCGCGTCGCGCAAGGTGGAGAATCACCGCTGATCTTAGGCGAATGAGAATCCATCAATTGTTGATGCTGCTGCTGCTGCTGCGTGATCATGTCGTAATAGAGATTGGTTGACGTAGGCTGGTAGGACACGATCCTGCTGGCGGCCTGTGCGTTACTGTAGATATTCGCGTATGCCACCTGCGACACACCGCTATGTGCCATCCGAATATCGCCATAGGTATCTGCTGGAACGATGGAAAGAAGAAATGTAAAATAAGCCGAACTGTGGTCAATCGTTGCGTGTCAATCATGAGTGAATGATAAAAAGACAATAAAATGTAAAAAAATCTGAAAAAAGTTTAACAGAAAAATAGAAAATTTAATAAAATAATAACGTCTAATAAAATATTTTCCTTTTTGAAAGATATATTGAAAGTGGAGTAACAGTTATTTCCTTACTCCTTGTATAATGACAAAAGATATATACGTTATATATATATACCTGGCTCGATTTTCACGCTGTTATTGTTATTATTATTGTTGTTGTTGTTCGTGCATTGCGCAACGCTGGCGGAGAGCGGCGTGTCGCTGGTCTTCATGCTGCTACCCTTGGGTTTTCGCTTTCGCGTCTGAATGCTATCCTTCTTCATGGTGGACGGCCTGTTAACGCCGTGCAGCTTAAAGTAAAGTCCGCAAGCGTTGCAGACAGGCTCGCCCATTGCGTTGCGACGCCAGAGTGACGTCATAGTGGTCTCACAATTGCTGCAAGCGAGACCCAACCGTCTTGTGGCGGACTGCGGAAATACGAAATCTTCATTATACACGTCGGCCGCGTATCCACGGCTGAAAGGGGGATCTCGCGACGTCTCTCTCGGGAAATGAATCCGTGTAGGGGGGAGACTGTGAAAATTTCAATTTCTCGAAACATCTACGTCTTGTTCCAACGAGACAAAAGGTCCGGGCGGACATCAGTCTCGAAAGTAAAATATTATGAGAAGAGACCATTAAAGTGTCACAAAGTCGAGGCAAGCCTTTGGCCTGGGTTTGACAAGCATTTGACAAATTGCGGTCCTTGAGATCACTCGTCACTGTCAAGAAACCACGACACTGCAATTTGTCAAACATTCGTCAAAGCTAGGTCAGAGAGCAAGCTTTTCACCGCCACTAACGATCGCCTAACGACGCGAGAGGATAGCGAGGGTGGCCGCATTCAGAGAAAGAATTAGTCACGGGAGGTAAAACCTAACTGGTGACCTAACTAATATGTAATCTCAACGTATTAGCCGCGGTAACAACATTAGCTGTTGTATGGTAAAACGCATTTTCTGCAAGGTACAACTACATTGCTCGCTGTGACTCTATTGCCCGGTATTTTAGCTCGTATAGCCGATTTTTCTCTGAATTTTTCTCGCGTAATGCCGAAAAGTCAAAATGCAGAAGTTCCGAAAAGTGGCACGATATCCCGAAAACGCAATTCCGAAACTCGGGAATCAATCCCCCGAAATATTGAGACAAGTTACATTTTCTTCCAATATTTCAGGAGATTTCCCCGGTACTCAGTCTTCGGGATTGTAACTTTTCGGAACGTCGTCCTGATTTTTTCATTGCGATACTTTTCTCGGGGATACGCGTGACCACCGAGCCGGAGGAGAGGATTAAGGTCGGATTACCGTGGTTAGAAAAGTTTCGGTGCGAGGTATCGTAGAGAGACGGAGTAGGGAAGCGAGCCACCCCCGGTCACGAAGATCGCGCGAGCCTGGAAAAACTCAACAAACACAAACAATCATTCCGGTGTGATCGGAAGAGAGCCGAAACGGCGAAACGTACTTTTTTTTACGACAGGCTGCACGTGATTTCGCGAGCGAGAGTGCTCGTGGGTATAGTGGCACCTCGAAGCTACGGCGAACACGACGAGCAGTGTGTTCTCCGCTGGGATCGCACCGTCGACGACGACCCCGATCGGCGAAGACGACGGTCGACGATCGATCTCAGCGTTCGGTGTATAATGGTATGAATCGAAGAGAACTGGATGCGACGCCTTAGCGAAGTCGAGGGAGACTCGGAATTGAAGGGCTATCATTGGCCGCTCGGGGGCGGTTTCTCGGCATGGAATTTCAATGCTGAAACACGTTCTCTGTTTCCGTTCATATCCTCCCAACCGATTGATTCGTCCCGCACGCAAATCAATCGGAATTATTGCACAATCCATGCCCACGAAGCCGCACGAAGCGATCAACCTGATGCGATGAGATGAGGAGAGATACGAGAGGAGCGACGAACCGAACCAGATAATGACGATGATAATGACGAGAATGAGGGTGTATTCCGTTAGGTGTAGCGAGAATATCTCTTTTTAATTATAAAGTTGACGTATGCTTAACCAACTTTGCTTTGTTTCCTTTATGTCGGATTCCGTAATGGATCAGCTGATTGATCGTGATTCGCATCTACTTTATCCAGCAGAGAGGTATTTTACTTTATATTAAAATTATTTATTATTTATTATTATACATTATTTATTCAAAATTTTGAATAATAGATATTTTCATTTTAAATTAAGAATTTCAGAGGATTACAAAGAATAATAGGAGAAAGAGATGTATATCGTCAAAAGAGTGAATGAAACTAAAAGTCGTAAATTTTTATTATTTTTAATATATTTATATTATATATAAATTAATAAATAATATATCAAAAAAAAAAGTTCTCGAAATTCTTCATTGTCATACTTATAAATTACACTTTCGATAAAATTTCGAACTCTTACTGTTTTCTTCTGATATCATTTTCATCGTTTTATTCTCATAAATCATTTATTTCTTCATCGTTTTCGGAGTTTTCGTTTAAACTTGAAAAGAATTCGTCAAATAAAGGTAAATCCATTTTTTTTTATAAAAAATGATTGCAAGTAAAGATTGGTAGAGGCTCGTAACACAAATGTAAATCATATCAGCTGATACATTATAAAACATAGCAAAATAGGTTATGGCATTAATAACTGTAAAAAGGATATTCTCAGCATACCTAACGGAATATATTTTAAGATATAGAAAAAGAGAGAGAGAGAGAGAGAGAGAGAGAGAGAGAGAGAGAGAGAGAAAGAGGAGATGACAGGGAGAATAAGAGAGATAGAAAAACGGAAAGGAAGAGACATTGAAAGATACATTTTATAACGAGAAAAAGAAGAGAGAGTGTGAGAGAGAGAGAGAGAGAGAGAGAGAGAGAGAAAGAGAGAGAGAGAGAGAGAGCTGATTTGGGAGAATGACACCTACCAAACGACGGTTCGATTTCTCCTCCCCGAAGCCGCCCCGACGGGCGCCACTATACCCACAGAAGCCTTTGTAGAATTCGCCCTGGTCCGCTACTGAAACAGACATGAGGCCATGCGTTAGGGGTATTTTTATCTTTCTTGCGCGTGTTAAGTGTACACTCGCGTTTAATGGTGTGTTTCTTTTCTCTTTTTCTTGCGAATCGTCGTAACAACGTCGGGTGCAACGAGAGCAGCAGGCTTTGCGGTATCACGGTCGGCGATCGGAGATTCGATCGTATGGCGATTTGGCTTCGATCTCGAACAACTTACGAACAACAACAGGACAGAACAATACGGGCGAATTTCCACATAGGCTCCTGGACAGTTTTTCTCATATCTTTCTCTCTGTTTTTCTCCCTCTTTTCTCTCTATCTCTCTCTCTCTCTCTCTCTCTCTCTCTCTGAAATGCTTTCCGTGTCTACCTCGCAGCAAATCCAGTCTGTGGAACTCAACGGTTACCGAAATAATGCGATAATTTTATCATTAGGTGGACGTTAACGTTCAATGCTTCGGTGAAGGGGCTCACCGTGAAATTTCTCAAACGATTACAAGATAGGAGGAAGAAAGAAAATGTCGAGAATCCGACGATCTCCCGAATCTATCGCAATCACGACTTCCTCGGACCGTTTCGTTCCGCATTTCTGGATTGCGCGCGTTGCGAAATCTTCCTTACCAGACGGCGTGGTTGCTTGACCAGAGGCCGATTCATTCCATTCATCTTGTGGTACAGCCCGCACGCGTTGCAGAGGTAATGCCCTGTGCCGTCCCTACGCCAAAGAGGTGTGGAAATCGCGCCGCAGTTCACGCACTCACGGCCCTCCGTATAGTACTCCGCCTCGATGCTGTGTCCCACTGTTGTTTCATAACCCATCGAATTGTGCTCGTGAAAAACCAAACAGACGGATCGCACGCACACAACGCCACGCAAATCCACACATACACGCGCCTAACAGACAACAACGCCTACTTCTCTCTTACGCTTTTATATTTAGTATCTTATAATCAGGATTGGCGAAATTTCAGACGTTTTGGATCAAGTTACCAGTGATGAAAAGTGATACTTTCCGGAAAAAAAGAAACTGGTGAAAACTGATCTTTTCTTTTAAAAATGATAGAATAAATAAGAAATCTTTTTATTGATTCCGATTCACAGGCAACCCGAGGCGCCCTGAAGTCCTAGCTGTGATCCTGTGCGCAAGAATCAACACTTAAGAAACGAGTGAAAAACGCGCAATCGTGTGTTCATATTTCCGACGAATCTTTCGATGCAGCTGTGTCAAAATAATTATTATATTTATCGTTTACCGAAAGTAGTCAGTTAACAATGGGTAATTTGAAGAATATATTAAAAATTGCGTTAAGAACCACCGTAATATTGTGCTACTTTAACATGAGGAGTGTGTTAAAAAGTGCAGGAATATGTGATAAAAAGTACACAAATGTAATCTTAAATTAGCGCATTCACGTTATTAACATACATTATCAAGATGAATGCGTTAACTTAGTAGCGTTATTTTGATATACTTCTTAACACATTTCCCATGTTAAAGTAACACCAAATGGTCCCTTTTCCAGCACAAAATAATTCGCCGTGTAGCGCTTTGTATTTCTGCGAGGTCGTCATCGACTCAGCGCAGAATCTGCGAAAATTTCCCAATTATCGGCCGGTATAATAATCACGACTAGGGATGTCCGCACCGGCTGGAAGTCGGGTTGGGCGAAAACGATCGATCTTCAAGTTCGCGAGAGAGACGCGACGCAGGCATTCGCGAGCACGACGCAATGAGCACGGGGAACCACGTCTCCGTCTCACGTGTCTCCGAGCATGGAAGCAGCCGTATCTACGGTGGCCTCTTTTTACGTGACTACTCGGAAACTATTGTTTCGCCGGCTTGCGGTGTCCCCCCCCCATTTCCATTACGTGACTATGAATATGCATAGTTTCTCGGACCGCGCAACTTAGAATGCAAGCCTATTACGAAACGCGCGAAATGCTTCGTGAAAACGCGAACGACGCGACCGCTCGCATTTCGCTCCCCCCCCCCTTCCCCCTCCACCGTTTTCCGGGCCTGACGAAAACATGGAAAAATGGAGACAGTTGTTAAGGCTGTTGTTACTAATGGGGAATAATCATCATGGAAAACTAATATTCGGCGCTGGAGAAAATGGACAAGGTCGTTTTTACTAATGGGAATAACGTCATGAGAAATTAATATATCTCACGGGCTAATATTCTTTTCAAAACCTTCCTCTTGAATACCGAAAACAATATTCGTAGTCAGATTTTGTATTTCGGATCGTCTCAGATCCATCTCCAGATGTTGCATGTATCATCTCATTGGCTACTAAGCATCTGAAGATAAACTTAAGGCGATTTTAAATATAAGATCTGAATATGAATACCGGCCTAAAACCGGATGAGATTTGAAAATAGTTGAATTAATATTTGGAAACTCGACCGGCAAAATATCGGCTCCTTCCTGTCAAAGGAAGTGAATTTGAGCTTTGAAATTGCTAAGTATGTGACGAAAACGATTAAAAATGTCAAAATTGATATAACCCTAGCTATCAATTAGCGTAAATATTTACTTAACACGGCAATCCTGCAAACTTGTACATACCGAACATACTCCAATCAGAAAAATTTCAAAGAGCAAATTTTCGCATATCTTCAGCAAAATTGAAAATCTTATAAAGATACAAAAAACTTCCATAGGAGTTCCTATGCATTTTGATGAGGATTTTCCGTTAGATACGATAAAACAAAATATCGCGCATTAATCGAACTCACATTTATACGTGAAATCCGTGTACAAGAAATACAAAAAAACGGCGTGATCGTGCCAGTGATTACGTAACAAACATTTCGAGAATCGTCTCTACGTTGTCATTAGTTCCATTATTAACGTTAATGACGATTGATCATCTATTGATTGATCCGTAATTAATTTCCTTAATTTCCTAAATTCGATCACGCTCGAACGTGCAGCAGGTGTGATCAAACACGTTCCATGCGCGACAAATGATTCCCCGAAATTATCAGCTAACAGCTACGAGTCGCGCGTCGAAACGAGTTTTCTTTCCTCTCGATATTATTTTCTTCACCTGTAGGCATGAAAGGGGTACGCTCTCACGCGCCCTGAAGCGACGCTAATTGACTTTTTATAGTTTTGTAGACCGCCACAACGAAAGCGAGAGCGAGGTGCCAAGGTCGAGTGTGAAAATCACGGGAAATACGACGGGACGAGGAGCACCGACGGGAACGAGAGAAGGAAGAACGCAGGAAGTGCAAAGGCGTCGGGGAAACGATGGAGACGGACATGACGTTATCAGAATTTCCGGCGTTCGCCGATAAACCGCGCGTCGACCAGCGCGGTCGCGCTGCGCGCCCGCGCTCCAAGAGCCGTTCGTACCCTCCGAACAAATTTCTACGTTAATCACCGGCACGCCGCTCCAAAAGCGGAGAAAATCATCGTCGCACCCCGCGTTGTTTCAAACGCTGACCGCCGGCGAAAATACGTCGGCGCGAATCAGAGATTCGCGCTGAGAAATTCTTTCTAATGCCAGAGGCTGAGTTAGCTAACGAGTGAGTGAGCGAAAGAGCGAGGGTATCACTTGACGACGTACGAAAAAAAATAAGAGAATTTGTCTCGGGTTACCCGGTGAAAAAAAGAGAAGAAAAGTAAAGCAGAGAGAAGGAGAGAAGTCGCGGAGAGGTCGGCGTACGCGAGCAGCACATCCGGCAGAAACGCGACTGGGAAGCAATCGGATATTGCATGTGGGTAAGCAAGAAGCTGCTGATGCCGTATCCGAGTCCTACGAACTCTCTCTCAGAGAGAGAGAAAGAGAGAGAGAGAGAGAGAAGGGAGGCATTGCATGTATGTATATACGCGCGGGTCGAGTTGCGTTCTCGCGCCTTCGTGACGCCACCTTGACCTACAAATAGTGCCTTGTTAATCGTCAGATTAACAATCGCCGCAAGAAATCGCGCAGACGGGCGAGAACAGTTGCGAACAAGATTTACGTCCCTTCTATAAGGATTTGATCAGCTTTTTTCACTCAAGTCACACGAGATTCTGCAGACGACGCGGGAATCATCACTCTAAGAGATTAGAAACACTGACTTTATAGTGAAAGTCAATGAAGAGTAAAATTTGAATTTTTAAGAACAAAAAAGTCACTTTCGTCATAGTTACTTTCTACTTCCTCCGAACCTTTTGTTTCGTCTTTAAGAAAGCTAATTATACGATTTCGTGTGATCGAGTTTTCTTAAAAGGGCTCGGGTAAGGGGGAAAATGAAAAAGGTGCTTTCCTACCTCAACAATAAGAAAAAATGAGATATTTTTAAACAAACGAGAAGAAGTGAGTCCACTCTTAGTCCACAGGCCATTCAAGTAGGCGCGAAGAGCGTCTTAAGAGCGTCGAGGTAGGCATCGAAATTTCGGGTAATGCAGATTACAAATTATTCGGGTAATCGCAAATTCTCCGGATTTCATTGAATCAGAATCGGGGATCGAACGCGTGGCACCATAACGGCGCCCATAACGGCGCTGTTTTCCTCGATGGAAGAGCGTCCGGGTAACGAGATATGGAAGGGCGCGGGGGGTGAGAAGGAGGGGGACGAAGCGGAGAATTAAAATGCGGGCATTGAGTTACCGCCGGACCGACACGCGAGGACGAGGAGGTCAGAGGACACGAGAATCTTCGAGATAGGAGCCCGGGGCGAATCGGACTGGGAAGCAATCGGATATTATGTAAGCAAGAAGTAGCTGACGTAGCCGGCTATCCTCTCTATGGGGTCCCCGCGTACAAAGAGCGTCGCTTCGCGTTGCGCGTCCGAACTACGTCGTTGCATGTGCATTTCTCGACCTTCACGACATCCTATCTTCGCGCACGAGGAATGTCGCAGCTCTACCGTAGAGAGAGAGAGAGAGAGAGGGAGGAAAGGTACGAGCAACGCGAAAGGGCCGGGTGAAGTAACGAGAGGCGGTTTTCATCGTCTTCGGCTTCGGACGATGATAAATCAGATCGCGGATCGTTATTTTCTCGCCGGCCGATTTCACAGTCTGATGATCGCGCCGACGCCGATAATAAGCAGCGCGCGTTATCGTCTCGCATTAATATTCTCGTTCACCTGCGCTTTTGTTTCCTTCGACCTTAATCTCTTTCTCTCTCGTTCGTTCGTTCTCGGCCCTCGGCTACCCCCCGGTAGCTTATTATTTCACCTAGGAAGCTCGCGACCGCGCCAGGTGTTCAGGCGCTGTACGACGCGCGATTGCCGCTGTTATTTACGACCTCGCCTCGTTATTCCGACTTATCTCTGTCCGATCGTTGTTGTTAAATTGCGGGAGAGAAAAACCGGCGATCCCCGTGTCGTTCGGTCTATTCACCTTCGGCCACCGTGATTTCTTTCTACTCGATCGGAGAAACAAGCTCCGTCGTCGTTGTCGGTTCTACGACGGAGAAACATCCTGAGCGTACATAGGCGAGAGAGAGAGAGAGAGAGAGGGAGAGAAAGAGAGGAAGGGAGAGAGAGAAAAAGACGGGACGAAGTAGACAGGGAGCTAAAAAAAGCCGAGTTTTCGGATCGGTCGGATTAATTTGGGAGCGGCGGCCACGTGCACGGTCCTTCAGGATGATGCACGGCCTCTCGCATCGACGTACACGGACGAGAGAACCGACGGAGACCGGCTCCCCTATATAAATGGGGTGGTATCTGGCACGCTTAAAGTTAAACGCTGGTCCGGTGGTGAACTACGGCCGCGGACGAGACACTCGAGGTCGCGGTATGTTAAAAGGCTGCGTCTCTCCTTGCCGGTCTGCCGAAATGGAGTCCGGATGGTGCACGGCAT